CACAGGAAAGGTCTATGCTCTTGGGTTGCTCATCATTTGCTTCAGTGGACTTTGGCCATATATCAAGCCCATGCTCATGTTACTTGGCACGGACACCGCCCAGGGCTGGCGAAGGTGTTTGGAGTGCCCCACTTCGGGCTTGTTGAGGTGTGGCAGAAGACGTTTGAAATCGTTTGGATTGATACATCCCTTCTTCGATGCCGCGATAGTGTAAAACACAAACCGGTGTGGCCTACAAGCCGTCCAGTGACCCCAAACGATGATGGGCATCGTCGACCTCATCCGGTTCCTTTACGCCGTATATGTTGGTATGATTCGCCCCCCCCAAAAAACGCCTTATAGATTTATTGGTGGGGCGCTTCGGATGGTTTCTTTTCACTTAGGATGATGTGCTGGTTTACTCCACCCTCACGGCTCAGTGTGGCCAAACGTCAGGCGCACCGATGAACAAGCGTTGAAAGGCCGAGAAACTCGCAGGAACAAACTTCCACGTTCGTTTGGACCGGGAGTGAGATGGACAAAGCATGACAAAGCCCTAGATCGAAAGCTTTAGTTAAACGGTTCCAGAAATCAATCACTATCACTCTTGATTTTAGCTATTTTAATTGGTTGGCTTGGCTTATTCATGGTTTTTCCTTGGTTTGGTTCATTCAGGTGCCGCTTTGATCCTTCTCTTTCTTTCTTTCGATCGGTGATCGGTCTTTGATCGATTCAGACTTCGTCCAGGGCTTGCTGAACTTCCTGGACGCCTTCGGCAAGTGGTCTTTGGTGGATACGTGCCTTGCTGCCCACGGGGGATTTTCCAGGGCTCCCACAGAGCAGACGGGTTTTTATCCCTTCCACCTATTAATAAACACAGGGCCCCCCCCCCTCCCTAGTAAGAGAAACTCGGTCGCATTTTTTCTAATAGGGGGTCCCTGAAATCGGGGGGTCCAAAATAGGGTCGCCTGGGAAGAGCTTCAAAACCTAAAAGTCATCCAGAAAAGTTTTATATAAAATCCTTTATTAAACGCGTATCAAAAATTAAAAAACTTCCAGATCGAAGGGTCTTCCTTTTCCCCTAAAACCTTTATTAGAATACTGATTCTTCAGTAGACTAACAACCAAAGCTTTCGAAAGGTGATGTCGCTGTGCCATGCGGTTTTGCACGACCTCGGAGGCAAGTGCGTTTGCGTGAGTCCGTGCCATTGGAGGAAGGAAAACTGGCTGGTGTAAACGCGGCGTGTCACGAGGGAGTTTTGGGGGAACCTAATTTAAAAAAACTACCCCCAAAATCGACCATGTTGGTAGTTTAGTAGCGGCTTCAAAGGGCGGGAAGTTGAAAACAAATATAAGCCGAATTTAGGGCTTCGGACGTTGTGCTTTTTTAAAAATTGGGAGTGTTTATTAATAGGTATACTTGGGATTAGTCGACCCAGGGCCTCAGGGTATAGGGTCTATAGGCGGCTACCCCACCATGGGGCTATATTGGCAGGATTTTCCATGTGGAGAAGCTTCCGGAGGATGCTCTTGCGATGGGCTGCATTCTTGAAAATCAGGTGGTTGCAGCAATCAATGCTTGGTAGATTGGAATACACGGAGCCGGAATGGCGGGATGGAAGCGGGTATTGATGTGATTGAGACGAGGCTTTGGTGCTTGAGTCTTCGTCGACAACTCATCTCGCTATGTGCGTGTCCGCACGGTATCCGAATTCAAAAGTGATTTCAACTCAGTTCCCAATTCATTAGGCCAACATAGCCCCGCCTGGCAAAGGAAATCGCATCAATCTCCGTGCCAAGGGGAAATGTGTTCCAACCAGCTGAATGGCTATGGGTCTCTGGTGGCCAAAAGCATGCTTGCACACGAGTTGTGACGAGGTTTGTCATGATCCTGTTCATGGTTGCCTTTAAGTTTGATCTCAGCGCTGCTTGGCTTGAATGGTCCAGATGGCACCTGTTGGTGCAGAGAAATATATAGATGATCTTCATATTTTCATAATATATAACATTCATAACAGCCCAAAGATGCTCACAGCAAGACAGATAAAGACAAGTGCAGCACTCCAGTACCAACATCTCAAATTGTCTCAAACTGTTTAGACCTTCTTGCAGAACATCCACTTCTTGCGATTGGTTTACACTCCAGAACTACCTCCGAACCCTGATCATCCTTCCGCCTCCACCGAGGCGCCCGACGGCCCGGGAATTCTGCAGGACATCTTTCGCGAGTCTGGCGATTCCGCGACCTTCGGCGTGCAGGTCGACGCCATGTTTGGCTTCTAGTCACTGGGCGGTGAATTGGGAGGGGTGGCTGTGAAAAAGATGTCCTCAAAGAAATGAGGGGGAAGATTTGAAAAGACTAGCATCTGACTCTACAGGTACCACTGGAGAGTCTCCGAGCCTCCATTTCAGCCACCATTTCGGAGACCTGTTGGATGCTAATTTGGAGTGAACCATTGATGGCAAGGTGACTTCAGAACCTACCGGCTCGTCCGCTCGGTTTATGCGCTTGGCTAAGCACCTTCCTCATCGCCACCTTCATGTCCCTGGTGTGCGGCCATGTCACCACAGCTTGCCACCGCTATGCGCACAAGCTGGGTGAGTTTGCGGTGGAGGACGATGCACCTTGACTGGGTGAGTTTGCTGTGGTGAACTGAGAGCGCAGATGACTGACATAGCCGGCCTATAATATCAACTTCTAAGAAATGGCATGGCCGGACCCGCCCCTTCAGGGAGGAAAACAAAAAACGTCCCGTTCCCGCGAGTCGAACCTTCCAGCCGTCCTGGCAGTTCAGAACTGCTCGAGGTACTCGAGAAGACCCGGTTGTGCTACAAGCTCGAGCACAACAACTTAGCCGATGTACATGGCCCAACGGTCGCCATCAGTGTGTCGCTTCTGCTTCGCGGTGGCACTTCCAAGCTGGATTGGTGGGACTTGGGACTTGGATGTACCTGGACATCTTATTGAAATTGCCTTGGTTTTTGATGTTTTTTTTGGGTGAAAGCAAGTGGAGAATGTGAAATAATGACAAGGCATCTGCTGACATGTGCCAAAGGTATCCAAAGGTATTTATTCAACGGTCAGGCATCCTACAGTCAAGGGCCTATAGACTCTAAGGCTTCACACATTGTCATCTATAAAGACAACATAAGAAAACCAATCCAGGTAAAGTAGTTTTATAGGTCAGACCTTTGAGAAATGATTTCCCATTCCCACCCAAAAGGCTGTCAAAAAAGGCTCCCAAAATCTCCAAGGCACGGATGCGCATGTGCGGACAGGGCGAGGGCGAGGTCTCTGTGTCGAGATGGGCTCGGTGTTGACGCTTCACTGGGCTCGGCTTTGGTTGGGGTGAAGATCGAAATCGACTGATCAGCTCAGGTTGGTCCTGTGTGGCACCTTTCTGCAGAGCTTCAACTTCAACTTCCTGGGCCTCGCCGGTTATGCCTTGGGCCCGGAGCGGGTGGGAAAAACGCGCGGGCCGGGCAGAGGCTTTGGATGGGAATCAGCTCGGTTCGATCGATACGAAAGATGGGCATCGGCATCGGCAGGTCCTTGGCTTGCCATGTTGATGTCTATACCCAGACACTCCATGGGACTGCCATATATATGCCTACATTGGGATGGTTTATATATGCCGATCAGGCCTGGGGTGGATGTATAGGCAGTCCTATGGCAGTCCCCAACGGGTCATGTCTGGGATACCGTGATGCGACTCCGGAAGCAGCGTGGCACTATGCCCTGAACCTGTTGAGAAGGTGCAAACTCGGCGCCAAAAACGGTGTGGCTGTTCAAATTGACAGAAGCCGGATGTTGTTGAAACATGTTGAAACTATACGAGAACTTCCTTCCCCAATTGACAGGGCCAACACAAATGGTGCGCAGCTTCTTTGGTTTGCTGGATCTTCGGGAGGAACTTTGTTTGAGAACGGATCGGAGTCGCAACTGGATGCAGAATTGAGTTGGAATCCTGCTCAACTATTGCTGGTTCTGACGCACAAATGCCCAGGTGACATGGACCAATCAACCAAGGTGAATCAGCCTGATTCTGGGAAAGGTCAATTATAGGTTCAATATATAGCTGAAAGATAGGTCCCCAAACCTTGTCAAGGTGGCTATTAAGCTCTAAAAGCCCTAGATCACAGATCTTGCCCGCTTGGACTGACCAATTGATCCCCTGCGACTGCGCGATGGTTTTGGGTCGTTTGCAGGAGCAGCACCGACCCTTCTCAGTCTTCAGCCTAGGCCATTCGGGGTTTATGGAGTGCCGAGGGTTTTGGTTCAGACTTGATGACTTGGGACATCACGTTCGTCGTTGTTTTGGACGAATTGGATGGCCCTCAGAAGTCAGCCCTAGAAATTCGATCAAGAACATCAAAGAAGATGGAACATACTGTATTCTGGAACATATTATGGCTGTGAGGAACTCGGCCTCCTCCACCAAAGCATGGGTTCGGTTGATATCCCGAAAATGGGGGAATCCGTTCATGTTTGGTCAAGAGGATCCCCCGCTTTTGACCCACTGCCAACTGTGCCGCTTCTTACATCAAAGTCCCCGCACACGCCTGCACACGCACGGCGTAGATGCGCCAAGAGACCACAGGCGATCGCCGCGATCCACGGAAAAGAACTTCGGTCGATTCAGTCCACCAGTCCACAAAGTCCTTTGTGGAGGCAGTTTTCTGTTACAGTATGTCCATTTGCATTTGATGTCTTTGCAACTCCCATGCCCAAGTCGTGTGCGAGTTTGCGCGGGGGAGTAGTTATAGTTGGATGCAGCTGGCAGGGCGTGTTCAAAAGAACAACTTCAAAATCGTTTACATCAGCCTCTCCCTGTCACGGACCTATTTGGATATGAGAAACATATATCGCGTATGTCGCAAGAATCTAAGGACCCTCAAAGCTGAGGGCTTTGAGGGTCCTTGATTCCCTGCTTTTCGCTGTTGAATCACTCTCGGCCGTCAAGTCGGCACCCATTTGCGCCGTCGGTGCTCCGAAGATCTGTCGCTGCCACGTCGCTGCCTTTGGGTTCAAGTGTCCCTCGCCCACTCGCCTGTGCCGCAACAAAGACCTCCATTCGACCTCCTCATCATGAGCTTCGGCCAGGGAAACCCTTATGGCGACCCCAACTGGTATGACCGCGCCTACCACAGCGCCTACTACAAGGAGTGCTGGGGTTCTTTGGGCTTTTACAGTTCTGGTCAGGATACAGGAGAACTGGTGTTAAACTGTTAAGCATAAATATGGCATACAGTTCTATTTGTTCGTTGTCCGGCTGCCGGGAGCTGGAGACCACACACAGGCGACCACCGCAGCACAGCACCTGGCTCATCGCGCCAAATCACGAAAGGTAGCTTGAGCTACCTGAGTTCTCCTTGCTTTAGCAAAAATGTATTACAATCAGGAGTTGGGATTGTGCATTGAGTTTGGTCCTGTAAGAGTTGATTCTGTTCTCGGGGGGGGGGGCCCCGGCCCCTGGATCAAATCCCCCCTGCGCCGGTTCACGCCGTCATGGACTTCTACCAGGGTTACTTGTGATTGCCTGCTACCTTTCGTTCACCCCCTCCTCCCTCAAGTCTCTTCACATCACGAAGAGATTGCCTACGTCACATGTTGCCCCATGGCAAAACATACGTTTCAATTCACAGAAAACACATCCCTAGGGCTCCAAGTACCTCCTTAGAAGGTATTTGGACCCTCTAATCCCACCCCAGTCCCACCTTCTAAGAAGGTCCTTGGAGCCCTAGGGCATTGCAAAGCTCACACTTACAGCACACTTCGCATCACTTCGCATCACAGAAACACATGGCACCAAAACCGCTCATCACTTCACATGAGACGTAGCTTATGTTGCTTGCGTCACCAGTGGGGGGAAGAAGGCGGAGTACACCCGATGAAAACCGATTAAGATGCAATTCGATTGCAACAGATCCGCTCAGTTCCAATGTTCCTTCTTGCGTAGTTGAGTCATGGCCACAGCAGTTCTCTTACCTTGACATGATGCTTTTAATGTCAACCCGAAAGGCCTGTTGTACCTGAGGACCGGGTGGGTCCATGTCCGAATTTCTTCTCAGAAATGTTCAGAGTTCAGAGTTTCTTCTCAGGAATGTCAGAAACTGCGACATTTGTGATTTAAGTTTGTTTCCACCCTGCAATGTTTCTTGGTGAAAGGGCAGTCCAAAACTACTGTTTGATGGATAAGTTGTTCGGCTGGATCCCTGATTCTGTTCCAAACTTCACGTGCAAGCATGGTCAAAGGAAAGGCATAACACATCCAACATACTATATCTAACAATTTGCCGTCCATGGATTTTGAGCACATGCTTGCACCCCCCCTACCGGCACGGCATTTGAGTTTGGACTTACGGCGTGTTTTTTTTTTCACGGACTTAGGGCGTTGGGGTCGTTTGAAGGTCCAGGTGTTTTTGTGCTAAGTAGATCATCCATCTGCTGATGGAAGACCATGGAAGACCCATGTTCGTTCATCCAAGACTCATGCGCCTCAGATCTCCAGGAGACCCACAAGGCTTGGCGCAAGAGGTGCCGTGACTTCGTGGAGGAACACATCATCCCCTACGTGAGCCAGTGGGAGGTGAGGACAAGACATGTCGATCAAGACATGTCAAGGTTTGTCACGTGTTTACTGGTCGCATGAGACAAGCATGAGACAAGCATGACAAGGGTTGGATGAAGCAACGCCTGAAGAACCGTGCCCTCGGGCTGAGTTCAGACGTGGGTTTTTCCGCTCGAAGCAGCCAGCGTCAGGTGAACAAGGCTGTACCCAAGGAGACGTATATCCAGTGTGCGGAGGCGCGCGTTTTTTCTCTCCACGTGCCCGTGGAAGCGAGGCGCCATTTGTGAGGTTGCTTGTGAATGTCTTGAATCTTGAACAAGAACCCGATTTACTTGGTTGGATGACTCCAATCCTATAAAGACACAAAATGCAACATATGGTCCAAATCTGGGATCCAATGATCAAGAAAAGGGAGAAGAGAGAGATGTTCACCTATGTTCGCTGGCTTGCCTGGCACCAGGCAGGCTTGCTGCCGATCGTGGTGGGCGCACACTCGGGTGCTTTCGACTTGGTGCCCTACGATGCACCCGAGGGCCTCTTGGAGGCCTTTCCTTCGGGATCCTACCCCTGCCAAACCTTCTTTTGGGGATTGGTTAAAGTTGGTTTCCCCACGAAATGTGGAACAGATGGGAAAAGGTTAACCTCTATCATCTTTTTTCTCCACACAAACTGAGGGAGTCAGTGATGTGGTGGCCAAGGTGCCTATAGATATGTCTATCTACTCCTAGTTGGGGAGTGCATCGGGGATGCCCTTCAAGGCTCAACATTTGCTGTCGGAAAGCTCATCAATGTGTTCGGCTAGTTCTGCCTAGGCTGCTGCCCATCTGCTGCCCTTGTCCTGGTTCACCTACTGGGATGGGATGATGTTCGGAGCTTTTTTGGACCTTTCCTGGCATAGCGTGGGGTCCTCCGTATTGGCCTTCGATCTGATCGGATCCGAGGCTTGGACTATTTCCATGAGTTGATCTTCGTAGACGAGCTTGCCAGGTGGAGCCGTCGAGTGGCTCCGGACGTTGTTCGAGAGATCCAATCCGGACGTTGATTGCTCCGGGGCAGCCTGGGCTGATGAGAACATAGTTCTAAGCATGACACAGAAGCTTGACCCTTTAGCTACTGGGGCAAGAGTCGCTCCCTCTCTCGCTCCGGGGAAACATTGCCTCACCAAGACATACTGTAGTGTTTGGCAGAGGTTGAAGAAACTGACTATCCCAATAGCTTGTGGAACTCCATGACTTGCTGCTTGCAGGTGCGGCAGCGGCGGCGTGTTGTGGGGCCTCATTGAGGGTTTGCAGATCGGATTGCCGCCAGTGCTGAACTTTGGAAGTGATGAGATGAAGAAGCGAGTGGCACCTGATTGCCACACAGCTTGGACTTTGGAGTGCTTTTTCTTCGGCGCATTTCGCCAGGGTGGGGGAGGTTGGGTTCGGGAGTTTCGTTTCGGGGAGCGGCTGTAAATGGGAAGGGCGTGGAGTGAGTGTAACATGGCGTGACCATGAATGATCATGAATGATCCAATTGGCAAAAGTTGTTCGTTTCAGGTCTAGGTTTGCAGTTGCATGCATCAGTGGGTTGCTATCCACCGACCCGCGTCACACGACAACAGGATTTACGCAAATTTGATCAAATTTGGTTGAATTTGTGTTCGACTTGGTGTGTTTCCATCGCACTCTCATACTGCCAATAGTATATGGCAACCAGCGTTCTCAGAGGAAAGACATGGCATGACATGACTGAGAAGCAGAAACCGGCGCAGCCGTAAACAGCTTACCACTTGGATCCACTCGATGGCTATTTAAACATATTTAAACGCATGTCAACCACCACAGCCACTGTGGGTTAATTTGGGTATGCAGTTTCAATAAGGAGTCCCGGAACCAATGTTTGTGTGATTTGTCTTTCTGCTTTCCTTCTTCCAAGGCGTCGAACTGGGAGGTCTTCCTATTTTGATACACACCCCACATGCTTCCAGCGTTTTGGTCTTCGGCTGGCCACCAATCGGTTCAGCCGGACTTGGGCTCGGACGACTGGAAGAGACGCTGCGCGCGCGGCACGCGCCTAGGCCTCATGGGGAAGAAGATCATCTCCTTGAACATCACAGAGCCTAGGGCGTAGGAGGTGGATGAAGCCGAGGGAATGAGGGACATGAAGCTGGTGAACACGGGTATTGGTGAGCGAGAGAGTCAGGGGCGCACAGAGACTCACAGGCGACGTCGGAGTAAGTAGGAAAACCCTAAATAGGGACTTCCCGGTCAGGCAGGTCAAGTGTTCAATGCTGCAGGCCCTCCGGGCAGTTTGCTGTTCCATGTGGTTCGAACGTCGGTTTGACACAGGGCTGTTCCGAACTAAGGGGTGTTTTTGCGCTCTACCAGTCCACCTGGTATGCGCTGGGAGGTGGGCCCCTGGGGGCCATTGCCCCACATATCAGTTGCTTCATGTTGCTGTCATGGATAGGATGTCGGAATCTTGAGAGGGAGTTCATTATCCATTGCACCAAAAACAAAGGAAGACCACAAAGAAACGGTCCACGGTCAAGAACCACACATGAGACCACCAGAATCAGCACACCACTCCAGCACAGCTGCACACGTGCTCAGGAGCCAAATGCTGGCAGTGACGTGGCGGCGCTGAAGTGCACGGCCACCAAGGAGGGGGATTTCTACATCGTCAATGGCAACAAGAAGCGCCTCCGGCCTCACCGAAGGTGACCGGTCACCACCGGAACCCTCGAGTTGGACGGTTCCTGTCGTGAGTCATCGTGACGTTGGAGGAGTTCTGAGTTCCAGGTGTGGGAACCTCCATGACTTGTGGGTGCTGGCTGCATTCGAAGAAGGCACCAGTCACCCACTTCCCGAAATGCTGTAAGGGATCCATGTATTTTCTCCGAAGGTACAACTGGACCCTCCAAAGCTACAATTACAGTGTATCCGTCCTCACCGTACCTCAGGGGTATGCTGCATTCTTAGGGCTAAAAGCAAGTGGGGTGGGGAGTGGGGTAGCGCCTTCAGAGGGTCAGGGTAGACAGTCTAGTCGGGACAGCGGCCAACCCAGGTGGATCACCAACGGGATCTTCTCGGACTACTTCACCTGCGCGGTGCGCACGGGTGCCGCTGGCATGCGCGGCGTGTCCATGTTGCTGGTGGAACGCAGCGAGGGGCTTTCGACCAAGCGGATGGACTGCCAAGGCGGACGACGACGAACGCGTGAAGCGAAGCAGCGGAGCGACGGAGCAACGGTTTAATGAACTGGACCTTATTGGTTGACACGACCCATGGGATTGGCATAGAACTGCCGATCAGGCCAGGGGTGTTCTTTTGGGGGGGTCAATTGATCGGCATCTATGGCAGTCCCATGGGTCGTGTCAGGGTATTGGTTGACCTGGTTTTGCTGAATTACGATGCTTGATGTTCCTCCACGGGTGAAGCCCCTTCCTTCTGGGGATGGGGAACACGTCACATGCACCGGATGGGACTGAGAACCATTCCGAAGCGGAATGGCTGGTGTGTGGGTAGGTGATCCATGTCCACGGATATATATGGGACTAGCAAGTCTTCCGGTTGCAACGGCAACCAAGAGCCATTGGATATCATTGGATGCTATTGAAGCAATGTTTGCATCACATGTGCAAGGGTTCTCATACAATCAAGGTGGTTGCTACATGTTGCTAGCCCAACTTCCTTGGGCCTTTATTGCTGAAGCCTTGTGTGCTACTTAAGAACCATGTGAAGTCAGTGAATGTGCGGCAGCATGTTAAAGCTCAAGGCAACGAGATCACACGGAGAAAAGTCCGCGAGCCACTGGGCCTCCTGTTGTGCCATGCTGCAATGCTGGTGTTTTCGCTGTTAAAACCCCAGACCTTCCAGACTCATCAACGTTTTGATGACTTAACACCAGTCCGTGGTTTGATGATGTTTGATGACACAGTTTTGTCAACAGTCTTTTGATGACCTTCCAAACTTTGGGAAGTCAGTCAGTCCACAGTACAAATCGAGGCAACTTTTTAGATTAAGAAACACATTTGGGGCTCCAAGTTCCCTCATCCAAGGTATTGTTCATGTATTTGTATTTGTCTTATTTTTGTTTGTTTCATTCCTTCTGCCAATGGATCTGTTTTTTTTCCGCATGATTCTTCTCTTTCCCCCACCGCCCACGCAGAATTGTCTCGCAGGTGTTTGGCCCAGTGGCACCACCTACGTGGAGCTGGACAATGTGAAGGTGCCGGCGGCCAACCTCATCGGCAAGGAGAACGAGGGATTCAAGGCCCGACAGTGCCCGACAGTGCTGAGCCTGGTGAGTCTGGAAGATGGATGTGGCTGAACTTCGCTGAACTGTAGGAAAAAAGGTGTTGGTTGCCCTTTGCATGCCTTATAAGAGTCCTAGGTCCTAGAGATTCCTACAGTCTAAGCTTGATGTCCTTTTTGGATGTTGTCCGCACAGGTAGAGGGTCACAGATGGAAGACGCTTATAACATGACCAGTGCACTTGGCAGGGATGCTGATCAAACAAGGGATTAGTGTGCAGCTTTGTTGAATATAGTCGATATTTTATCGATAACGGTTTCCAATAGATTGTTCGTGGGGATCTACTATGTTCTATCTGTTTGGGGGCCACTATATGTGAAAGCGCACTCCAATAAGCCTGTAAATGCCTGAGTCATGGCAGTCTCGTCGCCCACGGATCCAAGAAAGACCTATATTGAGCCTTCGGGTTTCTACCTGAAAATGAGACCACGATCTTGAATCTTGGGGATATATTTATATTTTGAAGGATTCCCTTTGTGCTGGGCTTCTTTTGAGTCCTTCCCAAGTGGGTTCCTGTGATTGATTGACATATCAAGATTGAAAAAAAAAACTCGGACGGACGCGGCAGTCTTGAATTCCTGGCTCCGAAAAACGCGTGGAACGGAGGGAGGCTCCACGCGGTTTTCCGTGGCAAAAAACGCACTTTTGCGCTGCGACACGCGTGCCAATCACGGCCAGGTGATCATGAAGAACTTCAACCATGAGCGCTGGGGCTTCACTGTCCAGGTCTCATGGCCTCAAACCAGCTATAGAGGCATAGGCATATTCATGACATCAGCTTGCCCATGGGTGCTAAAATGCAGGTGACCTGGTGGATGGCGACATATATGCGTTTGCTTGCTACTCCGCAAGAAAAAATACAACTCTCGGACATGATCGGATTTCAGAGTTCATTTTTCGGGCGTTGACCGCCTGAACATGCCGGAATTGACGGCAGACAAGGCGGCCACAGAAAAAGGCCAGCGCGAGTCAGAAGGAGCTGACCGCTGATTTACAGTGATTTCAGAGTAGATGGCACAGACCCCAAGATGTCCTGAACAGACGGGGGGTCCATATAAACCACCGACCTTGGGGTCTGTGCCATTGGTCCTCTCAATCCACTATAAAGGTGTTCTGAGCTTGACCTGGGTGACGGCCACTCACCCCATTCGCCGGTTTTGAGGCGAATCGCCTGAGCCGCGTGCTGATCGAAGAGAGCTGGGCCTTCTCAAACAAGCGCGCGACCTTCGGAAAGAAGCTGATCGAACATCCGGTGATCCGCTGGAAGCTGGCTGAGATGACACGCCAGGCAGGAGTAGATGGGGAGATGGGGGGAGGGGATGCAGCAGTCAGTGGTAAGGTGCATCAAGCTGATGGAGTCGGGATACGTCTTTTGGGGGGTGGGGCAACTTAAATGGAGAAGAGTAGCCATCGAGGAATTCCGGACTTCCCTGGATGCCTGTTGGCAGCCAAAGTTTGTTCTCTCCGTGGAGCAAGTATATAATGCATTTTTCTGGAGGATCTTCGGGGCTTTGGCAGAACCCGTAGAGAGGTGGCGGGTCATGAATTGTAAGCCTCATCATGTCCATTTCGGCATCCATTTCGGCAACGATGTAGGCATTGCCTACACTGCCAGCAATCCAAGTGGATGGCATGGTTCCATAGATGACCATGAAATCTTCTGAAATCCACGTCACCATGAGTGTGTCGAGGTGTGGAGGGGGCACAGCTCCTAGGCTACACCTATTGGCAGTCCAGGGCTCTTCTAGACTGAACAATGTGTTTTCTTATTCCGTGCTCGACCTGACAGGTTGAAGCTCTTCATCACTGGTTGGAGAACATGACCTTCCAGCTGTGCAGCTGGGCTTTGATCGAGTCTTGTTTGCGGTGGGCAGAACCGCACTTGGCTTTGTCGACGTTGTTGTGGCGGGTTCCGAAAAGTTGGTGCGTTTGAACATGTTTTTCTCCAGCGATCGAAGGTGTTTAAGACGAAAACCACGGCCACCGTGGCTGTCCTTCGTCCAAAGGGACTGAGCAGTTCTGAGCAGCCAAGCCAAGTTGCCAAGAGCATTATGTGGCTCTTTCAATCAACACTTGCCAAGAGCACTAGCCATATCTAGCCGTGATGGACTTGTCCTAGACTTCCTAGACTCTAGACCCAATCTTTTTTTCCGCTGCAGCGTCGTGCAGCGTCCGTCACGCTGCAGCAAGGCATGATGCCCAAGGACCAGGATCGGCCCATGTCGTCGAGAGATCTCGGTGTGGTCTCGGATGTGAGGTGAACACCGACGTCGGCCGGGTGTGAACTTACCCGTTTATGCTCCATGTATATGCCATGTATATGCAATTTTTATGCCGTATAATATTGACCCCCTCAATGTAGGCATATGGAGTGTAGGGGTTATTCAATTCATGAGCACCATACAAAGAATGTACCATGGTAGTTGCAACGGCAATTGCAGCGATCCCGCACCTCTTATATTATAAGTTTCTCTATAAATTGTGTAGCTTGTGCGATCTACGACCTACGGCCACTTCGTCAACCAATGTATTATACACCTGGTGAATGCCAGTTTGTAATTGCTACCAAAAGAAACCTGCGTGACACCCTTCGGACAAGTCACGGAATGATCACCAGACATTCACGTATCAGACGTATCAACCAGCATGAACGCCAATGTTATCAGCTGGCACTGGCACCAGCCTGAAAATTGGATGAACATCCCAGAAGAAACCACTGCCAAGTGATGCCAGAGTTGCCTGCCGTTCTTCTTAGATCAACTGCTCGAGTGGACGAGAGGCGATGACCACACTGGGTGGTCCCATTGCTTTGATGAAGGCACACTCTTCCAAGGCAGATCCCGGCAGAACGGATTTCTCTCGGCGCCAAGTGAGTTTTTGTTGTGCTTTCTTCGCCTTGTTTTGGTCTTGCAATTGTAGTGTTTTGTGCGGGGGGAGTGTCTGGGGCAGGGCCCGTGGGGGGTCCCCCACCGGGCTGCGGGTGGCCGAGTCCCGGCCGAGTCCCGGCTATAGCCGAGTCGAGGGAAGGTCGGGGTGCGTTGGTACAAATGGTGTTGGCTCCTCCAAGGCAGTAGCAATATAGCATAGCTATACTAGTAGCTTCTAGCGTACTAGTAGTAATGGCCTTTAGCAATGGCCTCCATCTAGCTTCTAGCTAGTAGTGCTAATGGCTTCCAACCTAAGAGCGATGGACTCCACCTAGTAGCGTCCTTGTTGCGTGCATTTCTGCTAGCTACAGGACAACTGTCCCTGAGCCAGCTCTTTTGGGGATTTGACCGTTCTTGAGGCCTTCGTCTACAGCTGCCAGCAAAGCAGTCGAGCGACTCAAAGAACAGTTGTTTTGAACATTTGTCGAGCCAGTTTGTTCTTCATGTTTGCTGGTGCTTGCCGCCAAAAGGCCCGCTTTGCTCGCTTACTTCGCTTTGGCTACTTCCCATGTCCCGCCTCGCCTCGCACCATCGCACCACGGTCTCCACCCGGTCCGGATCGCAGGTCATGGAGTACTGCGCTCGGGAGGCGCGACAGATCTTCGGCGGCAATGCCTACACGCGTTCCGGCTTGGGCGAGAAGGCGGACCCGAGGAAGAACCAGATCCGGTGAAAGACCAGGGGCACTTCGAAAGGGGCACTTGGGCGGTGGGTGGCGCGGAAGACTGTGGTGACGGTGTGTGGTGAATTTCTGTCCAGTCAGCAGGGCATTTTAGGGGATTGATGGTTGTTTTCAGTGCGAGAACGCTGGGAACTCTAATTCCAAGTGTTTGTATCTCTTGTTTTCGGCGAGAACGCATGGGCATTGGGAGTGGGAGACCTATCGCTGAGGAATGCTCAAAGTGGTCGCAAGGAATGTGGATGAGACCACTTTGAACCACACATTCACTCACTGTAAACCGTTCTGATTGTGGCCCCACTCATGGTACCATCTTCAAGAACATGATGACATGAGGCTGAGCTGGAAAATGAAGGAAGGATTGGATCTCTTGAAACTTAAACCAAAAACTTCTATGTTCATACCAGGACCCTCCAACAGGCTGTTGGGAGACCCTAACAGGTGGTTTCTGGGCACCTGTTGTCACCAGGACACACCTGTTGGAGGGTCCAGGTACAGGAGTCGACGTCAAACAACCCTTGCTGAAAGAATAAAGATCCGTCAACGTGGCGCTCCGGAAGCCCTTTTTTTCCATCCGCGCCGCACGCCGCTCGTTCCGGCAGGCGGAGCGCTTATACCGCGATGTGGGCGCCTATGCCATCCCAGGAGGATCTGAGGAGATCTTGTTGGACCTGGCCATCCGACAGGGCAACAAGTCCAAGCTCTAGAGGTGAAGCTGAGCTGAAACGAAAGATCACTTTTGGGGTTTTCAGATTATACTTTTTCGTGAGCCATCTTAAGGATTTGGACTTGCCATCCAGAACATGTGTGCTTTCTAAAATGCATACCAGGAAAAATAACTGCAAAATAAAGGTGCTTCCAAAATGCATGTTGAAGAGTGGAGCTAGAGCTAACTAGAGGGAGATCCACCTGGAGCTAAAGCGAACCAGAGCTAGAACTGGAGTTAGAGCCAACTAAAGCTAGAGCTGACTGGAGCTAAAGCTGACTAGAGCTAGAGCTACCTGGAGCTAGAGAGCTGACTGGAACTAGAGCTAACTATGACTGGAGCTAAAGCTGACTGGAACTAGAGCTAACTAGAGCTAGAGCTGATGAAAGTCCGTAACACGGAAGTTTTGCACCCTAAACTGTACCACTCAGAAATCAATTGTTTGGGTTTGGGCAGTGGTTGGCCAGGGCTCAGCTCACTGGCTTCTTGCAGGTGCTGTATTTGCTTTTGAGACGAAAACTAGGCTGGCCTGGCCGCCCGCTAGTATGAGGGTTCAAGAAAGGCTCAAGCTGTCGCCACTAGGTCACTAGTAGTCACTAGCCCATGGAATGGAGGCTGTGGCGAGCGACGGCGAAGAAGATGTTCAAATAATTGGTAGTGCCAGCATTGGCTCCAGTGGTGACAGAAACCGTTTGGGAGAATCTCGAGCAACAACCAAATCAACGAAGCACACAAGGGCAGCTTTTGAACTTCCAGGCGGAAACATTTGGTGTTTTGTGATGGCATCATCAACTTCGACACTGAAGTTTGTTTCTTTGATGAAATGAACACGACGGACGACTTGGAAGAACTTGGGAATTGGGACTTGGACTGGGCATTTCTCTTTTGGGGGTAATTTCTGCATTGTCCATTGTCCATGGTACGGTACAGGTGTGGGTTTCACCCCTGTCATGACATAGAACAGAACGGCGTCAGTGAGGTGGAACATGTTCTTGAACATACATCAGGACACCGGACACCGTGACACCTTGCTGCTGATTTCCAATCCCCAAGGTTGGGCGGAGTCTGAGTTGTGGTGGTAGCGCGGCGCGCGTGTCATAGTCACCTCTCCTGTTTAGCTTAGGCAGAGGTGTACATCTATGCAGATTCTATCGGTTCCAGCGGGTTCCAGATGAAGGGAAGGCTCGTTCCTACTGTTGGATCAACCAGGCGGTCTTCACGGGGGTTGCGGCATCTTGCGGCATTATCAGAGGCAGACGTCCAGGTCATTCTGGAGACTGCACCTGCCATACATTGCGATGAATCAAGGAACCCTTCTGATTGTGGAACAATCTTTACTTTAGCGGAGCTTTTGGGTGCTTACCCAAACCTAAACCAAGATGGTTCATCCAGTTCATCTGGCTTGAAGTACTGGCACTGGAGGTCCCCTGCCAGAGCAAGATTCAATTCGATTTCATTTTTTTCGGGGACTGATTGTTTGTTGTTTGTTGTGATGCTTCCGAACGCTTCGTCGGGTCTTGTTTGCCTTTGTCGTTGTAGTGGCAATAGGATTGTGTAGTATAGAGTCTAGAGTATATACAAATATAATATATACCTTAAGCTTTGTAACTGGACTGGACCTCCCAAGCCGCACAGTCGAACTTGAACTTGAATGCTACTGCTACTGTAACTGAGGCATGCTATGAGCTCCACCGCCCAAAGCATGCCAACGAAGACAAACAGTGGGCTTTTGGCAGACCCGTTGGTTCAATCAACTTTGGATAGATTGTTGGAACAAATCAAGCAGGGTGCTAAGGAAGGCAATGCAGATTTGGTCTGTGATCGCTGTGACAAAATCCAGGAAATTTGTTCAGTTGGCAAAGCCCAGGCTCTGCAATCAAGATCAAGAACCTTAGCAACCTCTAGTGATCCCAGTAGCCAGGCTGCTGGCAAGAAGCCTGGGGGGGGTGTCGTACAAGCCTGAGTATATGCTTCAGATCGTCCTTCTAGCCGACACCTTGATACTCAGCTGCACTGATTTAAACCAAATAAACGTGTTAAACTTCAATCGGCCAAAGGCAAACAACTCCTGCTGAGTCCTGCTGATGGGAAAAACAGTCAAAAGCCAACCGGAGCCAGAGTCTGAGTTCAACATTCGCGTCACGTCGCAACCCATTCACCGGTTGTTGTTGTTGTTGTTGTTGTTGTTGTTGTTGGTTTTTGTTGTTGTTGTTGCTGTTGTTGTTGTTGGTGTTGGTTTTTGGCCCTTGATGAAATGATGAATCAAGGTCATGTTTAAATTCAATGTGTCAACTGTGTCAGCAAAGACTTGGGAATGCTGGGGGCGTTCACTGTTTATCCGTAACAAGACGGACAAGACAAGTCAGTAGTTCAGTTCAGCTCAGTTCCACTTCTTCTGAGGAAGGATCCAGCAGACATGAGCGTTGCCATGAACACGTGGTGCTCTCAGCCCGCCCGCTGAGCTGGAGCAGAGTGCAAACTGCATAGAATATTGAAATCTAGTGTTGAGTGATTGAGTGACCCTGAGTGTAGCTAGACTTGACTTGATGTTTTAAACAAGAGATGAGACTACTACTACTACTACTACTACTACTACTACTACTACTACTACTACTACTACTACTACTACTACTACTACTATATACTACTACTCGGCAGATTTAACCAGAAGTTGAAGTTTCCATATACTTCCGGCTCGAATAACAATATTCGGAGTCATTTTCATTGTGGACATTGGACTTGGACGTTGGTTGATTTCTCTTGGCAGATATCCTCCCCCAGTCTGGCCACCTGGCTAGTCTCAATCCCTTCTTGACCGTGTCTAAAGTCTGTCTGAACCCAGATTGTCTGAGACGAGAGAGTAGTCTTGCCTTTGAAGTTTGAAGTTGTTTTATGAGGTCGCTGGCAGCTACCCTGCATCCAGACCTCTTCTCCCACCTCGCAAATGGCAAGGACTGGACATGTAGACTCTTAGCGTGGGCTCATAAACCATAGCTGTGGCTGTGGCTGTCACTGCTGAGACACTTAGATAGTGGAGTGTTGCCGTTGGCAGGCAGGGAGGCAGGCAGGTAGAGGCCAGGACTAGGTCTAGGACATTGAAACTTTGGTGAGTCAGTCTGAGTCGCTGACTACTGACTCCCCTTTGGTCTTTTGAATTTGGTCGGTCAATTGGATGCAGTCAGGATAACGTCAAGCTTCAAATACCCGGGCCAGCTGCCTTGTGCCGAGCACGCGTGGAGCTGGATTTGGCCACTTTGATCTTTGCTCAGCGCACTATTCTTACCAGCAAATCTACGTGGGCAATCCACTTGAGAGCGGATTCATCTCCCCAGGGAGGAAGGGATTGGTTCCTCAGTGAATATGACCTGGTGAAAATGGCTGGCCAAATTTCGCACAAGCATGTTACATGGCTGTTGCAGCGCCAGCAATTGAGCATCGTGAAACGCATTCTGCCTGCTAGCATTCTTGGGCAACGTGCTTCCAGCACAGTGCACAAGGCTCAGCAACTGGTTCATGCTCTTTCACTGGAGTCAGAGAGCGTTCAATTTTCAATCCAGAGAACATTTTCTTTGCTATCCGACTTTGGTGCAGAAGGGGGAATGATCAACGTGCCCGCCTCTAGCATCGATGCATTTTCCCATCACCATTCCCATTCTGCCCCTGATGCTGATTTTTCTGACGCTGCTGTGGACACTGGCCTGCAATCTGCTTTACATCGTCTTTTTGGAAAAGCAATGCCTATAGCCGATTGCGACCACAGCATTCACCATGTGCCTTGCCTTATTTCATCATTTATGAATTGTAATCATGTTTCTTTCAGCCAGGCCGAGGCCGACCTACCCGCTCCTTGTTTTTTGGTCAACCAGTAACCAGTCACAGTGGCGGATGGAGATGTTGATGTTTTTGTGGCGGAGACCGGTACCGGACCCAAGCAATGGTAAAGTAGTAGAGGACAAGGACTCGGACTTGGACCAGACTCAGACCAGTAGAAATAAGCACACGACACATTAAACATTGAACTGAACATTTAACAGTTTTTGATATTTTTGACTCATGGATTTTGGACTGGACTTGTGAGTGAGTTTGCCGGTCTGCCCAGATTATGTCAGAGTTGTCTTCAGCGTTCAGCCAGTGGCAAACGTTTCGCGATACTCTCTCTGGTGTCTCAAAAGCTTTCGGGAGTTACCACCGACTCGGGCGATTTCGGGCAGTGTGCATTGATTCAAACCAGAATTTGCCCCAGGCAGGGCAGGGTGGAATATGGGACACTTGCGAACGTGGACCCTGACTTGACTTCTGACTCCGACTCCATTCCAGATTCTGAATCCTTCAACTTGAAGTCTAAGTTAGTTGCAACACATGTTGGGCTGCCACCCAGCCACCCTTGCTAGGAATGGAGGCACCAGTTCCACTCTTTGTTCAAGTTCATCTGTCCGAGATTCGTTGAGCACCGATGGGAATATTTGTTTGAGACGCTGGAATGGATCATGACTCGAAAACAAGCGCTTATGATTCTGATGAAGATGCTGGACTTGTCAACCGATCCCACTGAGAATGAGGCTCACGGTCCGGGGCAGAACATTTACGACCTGCTCACAACCAGGGAGACTCAACTTTTGGGCTTGTTGTCGGTCGAAGGCAGCAAAGATTCTGCTGTCTTCTGGGCAACAGCAGGACTGGCCAGAGTCCTTGCATCCTGGGGCCATTGGTTTAGCTCTACAATACATCACTGCCCATGCCATGCTTTGGAGTGTAAACCGAAGCCAAAAAAAATGGGCCAGGGCAAAGCCAAGGGCAGCGCAAGCAGTAGCAGGAGCTTCCAACACCGTTGCAACAGTGCCAGCGACATTGCAACTGCTTCTTCTTCCAGCCAATTGGAGGTGGAGTCCCAACCAATCATAGAAGCTACATCAGATCGAGTGCTTCTTCCAGATGACACTGATCTGGGCCCAGGCCCTTGCCCGATGATTGGGAGGACAGGTGTACTTTTGGCTGGCGGCCTAGC